TGTTTGTATGATGAAGTCGTTAATACTACATTTCTTCTTACATCTTGTATTCAATAGTGATTCGATACAGCCTTGACGGAAAGTATTGAGACAAAATTGATTTCCCTTTTTTTGAGGTAGGTTAAGAACAGGAAACACGATGGGATCTTCTACGCTTATAATAAATGAAAAACGATGGGGGCCAGCGCATTTCGCCCTAGAACGCAAAGTTCATTACACCTTGTGTTCTTTTATCGGTTTCTTTTTTGTTCCAGACGCCATGAACTCCGTTTTAAAAGGGCAAACTTGAATTCGAGTGTAAATCCCTACCCAACTCGGCGCATCCTCTGTGCAAGAAACGCGTCCTAACGTGCTAAGCATATTCGCTACACGATGTACGATGCATCCTTCAGAATTGTTTTTACATAAACCATCAACGTGGGCTGTATTTCGATCATTTTAACATGTCAACTTTGAATAAGCGCCTTAAATTTGCTGGAGCTGACGTGTTAAAGCGATCGAAAGGCGCGTTGATGGCTAAAATGGAACAGCTCCGGGGTATGCGCGATGTGTTCATTCATTCTCTGATTAAGAGAGGCGAGTACGCTTTGCGTACTTTTGGTTAGCAAATTCATATGTGAATTCTAATTTTGGATGATTTGTTATTAGGTTCATATTTTCGAGCTTGTCAAGCAATGTGAGTTTGAACATGTTCTTCTACGGTTTGCTGACTGTAAGTTAACAAAACGTGTCAGAACGCACACATGAACTCTTGCTGATCAAACGTACGCAAGACGTACGCATCTCTCATTTAGAAAATGAATAATACGTGTCATTTCGCATGCCAGGTTCAATGCGTTAAGGGAAATTGCTGGGTAGGCGGACAGAGTTTGGGGCACTGCTATCTTTCGGCTTCCGTTACCCCTGAAAGCAACCTTTCGCGGCGCACTGTTTGGATAGGGACTTGATGGAAGGCCTACTGCAATGTTGTCTCCTACAGTTGCTGCTATCCTTGTAAATCTGAAAGGGAACGGAAGAGAGAAAGAGTACTGATTACATTATCCTTAAGCATAAATTCGAATTTGATGTCACTCTTTTACACTCAACAGGTTTTGGCGCTTACATCTAGGCCGATGGAGTAGCTTTCTTGATGGCTTTCTTAGTAGTTCTCAAAAAGGCTGCAAAAACTGTCAATGGCTTAATTACAGAAAAAGTTTGTGTCCCTCCAAAGAGATTGAAGGAGATTAGAAGATTGATTGATTAGAAGCAAGAGATTATTGATGATTAAATTAGAAAATGTAAGAAGATATTGGTTATATTGCGCGACCGAGATCCACTACCTATACTGTTTTTATGTATATACCAAGTTTGAATGTGACCATTTTTCGGCGCGCAGAAAGAGCTGCATTACGTTGAAGATCAAATTTACAGTGCTGGTTAATTTGATTAAGAATGCTTAAGGCTTGAAGTTAGGTTTATTGAAAAGCAAAAATCATGAGTTTTGTCTTTTCATTTGAAAGTTAGCGGCTGCTAGCGTATTAGTTAATTTCCAGTACTTCTGTTGGGCGCAATATCCGCAATTACTGTATAGTTGGTAACATTGTTATTCCTCCTTGTATTCCGTGTATCCTGTCTCTGACCTGCGGCACATATAGCTAGCATATTAACAACGTGCAACAACATGTCTGCAACAAACAACAACCTGTTGACAGAACATTTTGAACAGGTGGAAACCAAGGAAGGAACGATTTGCTGCCGACACACTTTCAGATTAGGCTAGACGATGAATCGAATGAGCATATATATATGTTGCCCAAATATCAAATGTATTCTGTCTCTTCCTTCGGTCTTTTGGAAGAAGATGAGTTTCGAGAAATTGAAATATTGAAGTTTGAATCTTCAAAATAATTGAACAAGGTAATATCTTACCATTTAAAATCTCTCTTGGCTGTTTTTGCAAAAAAAAAAGCTTTGATTTTACATTTCTTCAAAAAGTGTTTGCGTCTTTTGTTTCCTTGCGTATTCAGGCTGGGAAAAATGGCGAGTTGGCGCAATTTATGATAGTCTTTATCACGCATCACTGCTGACCTGAAACGGTCAAACTTCCAGGCCAAAGCGTGGCCAACGGAAAATTTTTGTTTAGAAGCCCTCATTTCAGAAGGCATTCAACTCCTGCGTACTCGATCAGTCGCTTTATCCCAGTTGGGTAACGGACTACTGTACTACATTCATATGTCACAAACCATCGAACAAGGCTTCAACTTTGTGTCCAATATAGTTGTCACGAACAGAAAATTTCGAATGAACGAATATCGAATAATCAATTTTTGAAGATTTTTCGAACGAATGAATATCGAATATTTGATTTTCGAAAATTCTTTGAATGAACGAATTTTATTCGACTTTCGATTTTCGAATATTCGAATATTGGCACATTCCAAAATTCGAATGAACGAATACATGAATGACCGAACTTGATCGTATATTCAAACTAATTTCGAATAAGTGCTCGAATATTTTATATGTTCTCTGGTCATGAAACCTGGGCATTGTCTTGTATTCATAAACTTCCTTGTGAGCCACGCAGCCACGCCACGTTTTGTTAAAATATTTATCAGGTCTACGTTTCGGCATTAATGCCTTCCTCAGAGATCTGAAAGAAAGTCTCACACTTGTTTTTGCCCTATATGATCAAATATCTCTTCTTGACTAACCTAGTTCGACGCCCTAGCAAACGAGAGGAGACATTACACGACAAGTAGCATGCCAAGATCTCCACCGACAGCGCAACGAAGACGTTCAAACTCCACTGGTGGTAAAAGACTAGAGCTGACCGATATGGACAGCTTAAGTAGTGGAGATGATATTTATAAGTGACAGTATGACAGAAATGGCATCAAATCACTTGCGATGGAGAGCTGTTCATTCTTCCCGTTCAGTTTCGGTTCGCGCGAGAGAATGTATGCCGCTTCAAGCGCTTTGCGAGCAGCAATATTTGACTCATATCCTAGGATGATGCACCTGATATCGAAGTCGTCGCCGTAATGGTCTACTTTCCTGTGTTTCCCTAGCGGACTGGCCATGCTTTCCCGTCTCTTACTCGCCAAGTGTTCATTAACACTCACGCTGAGTTGCCGACCAGTTTCTCCTATGTAGGTAGCGTGGCGTGCCAGACATTCAATTTCGTAGGCAATGCCAAACTTAGCACAGTCTCCCATTTTTCCTTTAGGCCAAATGACGCAATCTTTCGTAATACAAGCTGTATCGTATAAACGATTACGCACTAGTTGTCGCTTAATGTTGCTTCGAGGGATATATATACGAGAAGCAACATCTTGCTCCAACTGGGCTTGTATTATACACGTTTGAAACGCGTGCTTTACTCTATCGGAAATGAGTGGTAAGCATAATGGAATCCTAGCACCAGTTTTCAGCATTTGCTGTAGACGTAGGCTGCATTTCTAGAATGTCTGGGTTTTGATGAGAAGTAGCCAATGGAGGCTGCTATCTCATTTGCCAGCTCGAGGGGTTCCTGTCGTTCACTCTCCCCATTGCAGACTTCGATTGCCGTTTTATACATGTTCCGTAATACTGCTCGCTTAACGGCAACCGGATGGGCCGATTTCGCGTGTAAAATGATGTTTTTTGAGCTCTCTTTGCGATACCATTTCACTCGTATCGTACCGTTATTAAGCATTAGCTGGGTGTTCAGGTAGGGGAGCCAACCGTTTCGTGGTGCTTCTCTGGTAAAACTTATGTACTCTGATTGTTGATTTAAAATCTTGAAACAATCGTCCATTTCGGACTGTGTTGATGTTATAATGCAACAATCGTCAATATATCGACAGTACATAAGTGGGCATCGTGATAGCACCGGTCTTTCTATTCTGCTCATGAAACAGATGGCAAGCGTAGGTGCTAACCTTTGGCCCATTGCCAACCCTCTCAGCTGTAGATAGTAAGTGCCTGACCATTTGAAGATATTGCAGTTAAGACATTCCTTCCATATCGGTCAGCTTTAGTCTTTTACCACCAGTAGAGTTTGAACGTCGTCGTTGCGCTGTCGGTGGAGATCTTGGTATGCTACTTGTTGTGTAATGTCTCCGCTTCTTTGTTCCTAGGGCGTCGAACTAGGCTAGTCAAGAGGAAAGATTTGATCATATAGGGCATGAAACTAGTGTGAGACTTTCTTTCAGGCCTCTGAGGAAGGCATTATTGCCGAAACGTTAAATGATAAATATTTTAACAAACCTGCGTGGCTCACAAGAAAGTTTATGAATGCTCGAATATTATTCGAATATTTGAATGCAATATTCGAATACTCGAATAACCATCTTTCAAAACTACTCGAATGAACGAAGATTCGAATAAGCCATTTTTCGAAATCGTCGAATGAACGAATTATCCGAATATAGGCCTTTCTCTATAGTTGAGCTGAACGAAAAATTTTTTCGAATGAACGAATTTCGAATAATCCAATTTCAAAAATTATTCGAACGAACGAATATTATTCGAATTGTGATTTTTGAATTATTCGAACTCGAATAATCGAATATTGATACTTTTCAAGAATTCGACTATTCGAATAATCGAATATTTGGACATGACCGAATATTCGACTATTCGAATAATTCGAATGAATCTGGTCTTTGATGAACTCAGTCCGAATGTCCTTCTGTGGCAGCATTTTGCAACAGATATGTCTCGCTATTTCCATGGTGGATTGAGTAAAACCAAGTGTTGTGGATGCTAGAAACCTAATCAACGAGCGTTTTGACGGAGGCAGGATGATAGCTAGATTATCTTGTCAACTCAGTCATAAGCTTGATGCAAAAAGTATGATGCCAGTAACTGTAGCATGCTATTTATTAGTCAGCAATAGCTATGTAGTGCAATAAAAAGCAAAGTTTAAGGCTTTCATATACTAGAAACGGTAACATAGCAATCTGATGAAGTGTAAAGCACCGCTAAAGTTACCTCATAAAGATACAATACGCAAAAATTACACCGACGCTTAGCTCTTAAAGGGTTTCTTCAACGTCTTCCAAATCCTCAATGTCTTCAAATGCTGTTGTTGTGTCCTCGACGGGAGACTTAACGGATGAGGAATCTTCATCGTCATCTTCACTGTCGACAACGTTCCTGTAGCATCTCACTTCTGCAGCGCTCCAGCATTTACTCTCCCTAAATGTCTACGTTTGATTGATTGCGCATATTTACTTATAGCTAGCCTTACCTCCCTATCTCCCTGTTGACATGCGCTTTGCACATAAGAAGCAATCGTGCGCTCTCACCGCACAAACGCCCTCTCCTTTTGTTACCATAGATGATTCCAGCAAAGCTAAATAAGCATAGATAATGAACATGCGCTGAAGAAATGCAAACGTGCCTGAATAATCTCTCACAATCTACCGACGTTGCGGGTATGGCGAGGTAGTGTGGCACTTGCTTCGAAAGAATTGGAAATTCATTAGCGTGATCCTTCCACCATAAAAAAGGAGAAAGGTCTTTCTCCGGTCGGCTCTTTTTTAGTAGGATTGAGTATTGTTGCACTTCAATCTAGAAAATATTATCATAGAAAAATTATTAAATGTTACTGCAGCCAACCATCAATTCCTGTGCCTGATCAGATAAGAGGCACCTCTTAGCGCTGGACTCAGGCTCAGCGTCTGCTATGGGATCCCAGAAAGACGATACTTTGTCCCTGGCTGTAGAAGTGGGAATATCAAGGGATTCCTGACTACTTGAAGAGTGACCCACTAAAATAAGATTGATTAGGTTTTGGAAGCAATAAAAACTATGCTTACTCTTAGATTCGATGAGTTTCTCGACTATTGTTTTCCACTCATCTGTAGATGCTATCCTTTCGAGGTATGCGAAGCGCGGGTCAAGAAGTGCAGCAATGCGCAATGTTTCATTAGCGAACGATGGAGCGAACTGACGTCGTGTTTCCATAAGCAGTATGCTTCCGAACTGCTTCAATCTGGTGCGAGGCTCGTTACAAGTGCTACAAATACATCATGATTTGCGCATTCGAAAAACAGGTTTATAAGCACCTTTCCGTTTTAGCCAACAGAAGTTTTCCTCCAGCAAGCAGTAGCGAACACGTAGCTTCAGCTGCGCACATCTAGAAATTATCTTGCTCATGTCAGACAACAGTATAGTATTTGCGCTAAGTCACCTTCTTAGTAAGTTCGTAATAAGGCTCAAGGAAAGTTCTCACTGTTTTCAGAGTTTTCAATTCTTCATCATCAAAAGGATCAGTGGACTGATTTTCCATCAATTTATCCAACGCTCCCCTCTAAAAAATTGTGAGATTGTTAGATATGCGAAAACTAGCATATATTACCGTGGCAAGGACATCGCAAATCATTGCGTAGGTAGACCCCCAACGTGTGGGGCAGTCGCTCGTGGGAGTTATTTTTGGAAGACTTAACTCTTCGAGATAGCTAAAAAAATCATTTGTTGTAGCCCGTCCAGGTATTGTACAGATGAGAACCTCTTAAAAAGTCCTCGCTACATCCCTTTGTGAAGGTGGAGAAGATAAGCAGCTGTAGCTCAAACAGTCTCTAACAATGTATGCCCTAGTACACAACACGAGCGGGAGTAAAATAGGTATATGTAATGACAAAAGGAATCTGAACAAATATGAGCATATTAAAGAAAAACAATTGCCAAAATTTGATTGGAAAGAGTTAGTTAGAACCTATGAGCTTTCTAACGTAAATCACGGTGTATGATGTATTCGCAATTGTTTTCTCTTTTACGAAAGGATGCAGCGATTGTGCGGTCGTTGCGGTCAGTGCAGTCTGCTGCACTGCTGCGGTCAGTGCAGTCAGCTGCAGTCTGCTGCAGTCAGTGCGGCAGTATGAAACAACCCTAATCACGCACCAAGAAGCTGTTTTCTTCGTCTTAAAATCTCTGGTCACCCAGTTTGATGCGCGCAATGCCGTATGGACACTATAGTTAGCGCCGAATATTCGTGTTCGAATAATTTATTCGAGATATTCGACAATTCGAATGTTCGAATAGTCGAATAAATGAGAAAGGTATAGTTGAGTCCGAATATTCGAGTTCGAATAATTTATTCGAAAAATTCGACTATTCGAATATTCGAATAGTCGAATGTTTGAAAGAAGCGCAATTATTCGACTGTCCGAATAGTCGATTATACAAAAGAGACAATTATTCGAATATTCGTTAATTCGCCCGTTTGGAAAAACGGCGGATTCGAATATTCGAATATTCGATACGTTGGAAAAAAACCAATATTCGAATATTCGAATATTCGACGCAATAAAAAAAGGACTTATTCGAATGTTCGATTATTTGCAACCGACTTATTCGAATGTTCGAATATTCGAACCGACAGAACTTAACTTTCTACCGGTCGCCTCCTCTTATCGACTTCTGAACGACCCCTTCACTCTTCGGAGCCTCTAATATAGAGGAAGTTGTAACAGCGCGTTAACAGCTCCCAAAGAACGCGGTTCGTGGCGGGACCTCGCCCAAACATTTCGCAACAGTGCATTTCGCCTGAGTTCCATTGAGCTGTTTTTCTTCGTAGCAGAGCTTTACGCTTCATAGTTCGTGACACTAAAGTGCCTTCATTTCATTTTTGATACCTTCTGCCTGTTGCTCAAGTGTCGACTATTTTCCTTTGTATGAGCACAGCTACCCACGTCATTGATGGTTTCTGTCGAGTTTTTGAAGTTTCTCATTTTCTTTTCAGAGAAATTTTATGCAATCGCAGTGCGAGGCGTTGGTGAGTTTGATTTTACTGAATGATCCAGCATTGAAGCCTTGAGAAGATTTTGCTAACATTAGTCCTTTTTGCCATTTCTACTTTTGGAGTTCAAGCACGTTACTTCTGACAGTGAATGATGTTGTTTACATCAAGTCATCAAGCTAGTTCAGCAGGAAGGCTAATTTTAAAACTCCAAATGGTCCTTTTTTCATTTTTGATGCTTTTTTGCGCAAATGAATGAACTTGTCGTCTATCATTCATTGTATCGACAGCTAACAGCGTCATCAATGCCGATTTTGTTGAGTATGGGAGTTTTCAAACCTTTTTCCAGCAAAGGAGTTCAATACGATCTCTACGAAGAGTATCAATTTCTGCATTCTGCTGAATGTTAACATGTTTGAATGAACTAACGATCAGTTCACGATACTTACAAGGTGATGTAAGCTTTAAGGAGTGCCTGAAGCGATAAATGTGGATCGAAAACTCCAGATAATCGAATCATTATATGAATGATGCACTAGTCCCGTTATGCTTCCTTGCCAGAAGGGTGATCTTGTTCAGTGAATTGGTGCACCATGTAGGCGCAGGCATCCTGTATTACTCAAATCAGTAGTCCTCTACAAAGAAAGACTTTTATCATTCATTCTGTGATTTAGAGACCCCGCTTTGCACACATTGCCTAAACGGTTTGAACGTGATTTTTCATCTCCAAGTAGCAAATAATCCAAATCGGTCAGAATGGACGTATAAACCTGTAAACATCACGATCATGGTTGTTTGACAATGTGTGCAAAGCAGTTTTGAGTCTCCTGCAGTCACATACAGAATGATACTTTGCATCAGGGTGTTGTTTGTCCCATCAGACGAGACTCGCTTTCTAAGGAGATTGATTCACTTACAGCTTCTCTTCATTTGCATTCTTCTTCAGTAAAGTTTTACCTACAGTGTATTTTTAAAGGCAACATCTTGATGACTTGATAGTAATAAACAACATCTATCTGAAGTAACGTGCTTGAACCCTTAGAGGTATGAATGACAAGGCACTGTTGTTCGCAAGATTTTTTCAAGGTTTCAGTGCTGGATCATTCAGTAAATTCAAACTCACCAACTGCACCGCACTGCGATCGCATAATGTTCCTCTGAAAAGAAAATGAGAAATTTCAAAAGCAAACTCCAAACACTTTAGCGTCGCGAAATTAGCCGTCTGGCTCCTTTGTGTGCAAGCACGGACTGGCGCGACCAACCTGCCTCATCCGGAGATTCAAAATGTTGTGCATTTGCACGCAGGGCAGCGAGGTGACTAGACAGTGATGGCTACTATACATGTTTTGGCTTCCCCGCATGCCTTTATCCGAAAGCTGCATAACGAAGCTACCCATTCAAATCAGCATTGCAATGTTGTGCTACATCTTGGATTACTACTAGCACCCGTTATTTTTCTGCGGCTCAAGCTAGGGGTTAATCGTGCTCCAGTTTCTTGGCGTGAACTGCTGTAATACTTACACCACCGAAGAACTTCGGGCAAGGGACTTTATAGGACCTTTACGGTTCACAGTCATAGTAAGAATCAAAAGAAGAATTACATAAAAATTAGCGTCACTTGTTGCCAACCTAAGTACGACTGAATGAACTTTTTTGAGGAGACAGATATAATAGAATAAACAGCAACAGTTCAATTCATAAGCTCAAGCATAAAGAGCGCCAAGTTTTAGCACCAGATGTTTGGACATTAGCAAATTTTACATAATTGTACCTACTAGTGTTTTCTGCAGGTTGACATCTACGCCTTAGCAGTGCTAACAGTAAAGAACACTATCCGAGCAAAGAAAATAAAGCCACATTTCAAATCTTATAGATCTTCATAGAAGAAGGTAAAAACGGAAAAATTTTTTTGCAGAATTTAGAGCATTTAAAAAGCAAGCTTCACAAGTCAATCTATTTCAGCTGAATTCAACATGAGCGTAGTCTGGAAGCTTTTCACCAAAACGTCTGATGAAAAAGGGAACAGCATTGCCACATGCAATATTTGTAAGAGAAAAATGAAAGTTCCAGTGTCGAAGACTACCACGAACCTGCTCATCATACATCTCAATGAGAATCACAAACAGGAAGTTCAACGAGCCAAGGAGGAGCAGCCAGCTATGCCTACTTCTCAGAAGTCGCAGCCCTCCATAATAACGGCATTTTCACCAAAAATGACAAGTGAAGCCCGCAGAATTGCAAACACACGACTCGCCATGCTAATCGCAGATAAATGGCTCTTCCTCAGCTTATCATCATCAAAATGTTTTCGCCACTTTGTGCAATCGCTAAATGCAGGCTACATCCCCCCAACAAGGAGAACGTTGCTTAGCATCATGGAGAGCGAGGTTGCTCAAATGGACCAGGACAATAAAGCTGATACTGAGCGCAGGTAGTTTGGCATTAACAGCGGACTGCTGGAGCTCTTTCAACGCAAACACCGGACTCCTAACGATCACAGGCCACATTGGTGGGCCCACGACGAGTAATCGCCATAACATTATCCTTGATTGCGTCGCTCTCGGATATGAAAGGTAAAGCTTCACGCCACTTACCAGAAATAAGTCATAAGCGCGCTATTTCTGTCATAGTGCCGACCTCATTGCTCATCACATCAGATGTAGTCTTAGCAGACTGAATATTGATAAAACTTTAGTCTGCGCTATGGTTGCTGATGGTGCAGCCAACATGAAACGAGCGGCAGCTGATCTCAATGTCAAATAGTAAGTGAGCAGTAGTGCACAAGTTTGAGAAGTGCAGACGTATATTTTAGTTTCCAATGTGGCGCGCATTTGATTAACTTGGCTGTGCGTAAGGCGCTCACCTGTGAGCATGTTTCACCCTTGGTTCAAAAATGCAAAACTATTGTTGCAAAGTTGGATCGCAGTAGTGTTCTGCGAGGACTTTTTGAGAGGTTCTCATCTGTACAATACCTGGACGGGCTACAACAAATGATTTTTTTAGCTATCTCGAAGAGTTAAGTCTTTCAAAAATAACTCCCACGAGCGACTGCCTCACACGTTGGGGGTCTACCTACGCAATGATTTGCGATGTCCTTGCCACGGTAATATATGCTAGTTTTCGCATATCTAACAATCTCACAATTTTTTAGAGGGGAGCGTTGGATAAATTGATGAAAAATCAGTCCACTGATCCTTTTGATGATGAAGAATTGAAAACTCTGAAAACAGTGAGAACTTTCCTTGAGCCTTATTACGAACTTGCTAAGAAGGTGACTTAGCGCAAATACTATACTGTTGTCTGACATGAGCAAGATAATTTCTAGATGTGCGCAGCTGAAGCTACGTGTTCGCTACTGCTTGCTGGAGGAAAACTTCTGTTGGCTAAAACGGAAAGGTGCTTATAAACCTGTTTTTCGAATGCGCAAATCATGATGTATTTGTAGCACTTGTAACGAGCCTCGCACCAGATTGAAGCAGTTCGGAAGCATACTGCTTATGGAAACACGACGTCAGTTCGCTCCATCGTTCGCTAATGAAACATTGCGCATTGCTGCACTTCTTGACCCGCGCTTCGCATACCTCGAAAGGATAGCATCTACAGATGAGTGGAAAACAATAGTCGAGAAACTCATCGAATCTAAGAGTAAGCATAGTTTTTATTGCTTCCAAAACCTAATCAATCTTATTTTAGTGGGTCACTCTTCAAGTAGTCAGGAATCCCTTGATATTCCCACTTCTACAGCCAGGGACAAAGTATCGTCTTTCTGGGATCCCATAGCAGACGCTGAGCCTGAGTCCAGCGCTAAGAGGTGCCTCTTATCTGATCAGGCACAGGAATTGATGGTTGGCTGCAGTAACATTTAATAATTTTTCTATGATAATATTTTCTAGATTGAAGTGCAACAATACTCAATCCTACTAAAAAAGAGCCGACCGGAGAAAGACCTTTCTCCTTTTTTATGGTGGAAGGATCACGCTAATGAATTTCCAATTCTTTCGAAGCAAGTGCCACACTACCTCGCCATACCCGCAACGTCGGTAGATTGTGAGAGATTATTCAGGCACGTTTGCATTTCTTCAGCGCATGTTCATTATCTATGCTTATTTAGCTTTGCTGGAATCATCTATGGTAACAAAAGGAGAGGGCGTTTGTGCGGTGAGAGCGCACGATTGCTTCTTATGTGCAAAGCGCATGTCAACAGGGAGATAGGGAGGTAAGGCTAGCTATAAGTAAATATGCGCAATCAATCAAACGTAGACATTTAGGGAGAGTAAATGCTGGAGCGCTGCAGAAGTGAGACGCTACAGGAACGTTGTCGACAGTGAAGATGACGATGAAGATTCCTCATCCGTTAAGTCTCCCGTCGAGGACACAACAACAGCATTTGAAGACATTGAGGATTTGGAAGACGTTGAAGAAACCCTTTAAGAGCTAAGCGTCGGTGTAATTTTTGCGTATTGTATCCTTATGAGGTAACTTTAGCGGTGCTTTACACTTCATCAGATTGCTATGTTACCGTTTCTAGTATATGAAAGCCTTAAACTTTGCTTTTTATTGCACTGAAGCTCTATGGTATCTACATAGCTATTGCTGACTAATAAATAGCATGCTACAGTTACTGGCATCATACTTTTTGCATCAAGCTTATGACTGAGTTGACAAGATAATCTAGCTATCATCCTGCCTCCGTCAAAACGCTCGTTGATTAGGTTTCTAGCATCCACAACACTTGGTTTTACTCAATCCACCATGGAAATAGCGAGACATATCTGTTGCAAAATGCTGCCACAGAAGGACATTCGGACTGAGTTCATCAAAGACCAGATTCATTCGAATTATTCGAATAGTCGAATATTCGGTCATGTCCAAATATTCGATTATTCGAATAGTCGAATTCTTGAAAAGTATCAATATTCGATTATTCGAGTTCGAATAATTCAAAAATCACAATTCGAATAATATTCGTTCGTTCGAATAATTTTTGAAATTGGATTATTCGAAATTCGTTCATTCGAAAAAATTTTTCGTTCAGCTCAACTATAGAGAAAGGCCTATATTCGGATAATTCGTTCATTCGACGATTTCGAAAAATGGCTTATTCGAATCTTCGTTCATTCGAGTAGTTTTGAAAGATGGTTATTCGAGTATTCGAATATTGCATTCAAATATTCGAATAATATTCGAGCATTCATAAACTTTCTTGTGAGCCACGCAGGTTTGTTAAAATATTTATCATTTAACGTTTCGGCAATAATGCCTTCCTCAGAGGCCTGAAAGAAAGTCTCACACTAGTTTCATGCCCTATATGATCAAATCTTTCCTCTTGACTAGCCTAGTTCGACGCCCTAGGAACAAAGAAGCGGAGACATTACACAACAAGTAGCATACCAAGATCTCCACCGACAGCGCAACGACGACGTTCAAACTCTACTGGTGGTAAAAGACTAAAGCTGACCGATATGGAAGGAATGTCTTAACTGCAATATCTTCAAATGGTCAGGCACTTACTATCTACAGCTGAGAGGGTTGGCAATGGGCCAAAGGTTAGCACCTACGCTTGCCATCTGTTTCATGAGCAGAATAGAAAGACCGGTGCTATCACGATGCCCACTTATGTACTGTCGATATATTGACGATTGTTGCGTTATAACATCAACACAGTCCGAAATGGACGATTGTTTCAAGATTTTAAATCAACAATCAGAGTACATAAGTTTTACCAGAGAAGCACCACGAAACGGTTGGCTCCCCTACCTGAACACCCAGCTAATGCTTAATAACGGTACGATACGAGTGAAATGGTATCGCAAAGAGAGCTCAAAAAACATCATTTTACACGCGAAATCGGCCCATCCGGTTGCCGTTAAGCGAGCAGTATTACGGAACATGTATAAAACGGCAATCGAAGTCTGCAATGGGGAGAGTGAACGACAGGAACCCCTCGAGCTGGCAAATGAGATAGCAGCCTCCAATGGCTACTTCTCATCAAAACTTAGACATTCTAGAAATGCAGCCTACGTCTACAGCAAATGCTGAAAACTGGTGCTAGGATTCCATTATGCTTACCACTCATTTCCGATAGAGTAAAGCACGCGTTTCAAACGTGTATAATACAAGCCCAGTTGGAGCAAGATGTTTTCTCGTATATATCCCTCGAAGCAACATTAAGCGACAACTAGTGCGTAATCGTTTACACGATACAGCTTGTATTACGAAAGATTGCGTCATTTGGCCTAAAGGAAAAATGGGAGACTGTGCTAAGTTTGGCATTGCCTACGAAATTGAATGTCTGGCACGCCACGCTACCTACATAGGAGAAACTGGTCGGCAACTCAGCGTGAGTGTTAATGAACACTTGGCGAGTAAGAGACGGGAAAGCATGGCCAGTCCGCTAGGGAAACACAGGAAAGTAGACCATTACGGCGACGACTTCGATATCAGGTGCATCATCCTAGGATATGAGTCAAATATTGCTGCTCGCAAAGCGCTTGAAGCGGCATACATTCTTTCGCGCGAACCGAAACTGAACGGGAAGAATGAACAGCTCTCCATCACAAGTGATTTGATGCCATTTCTGTCATACTGTCACTTATAAATATCATCTCCACTACTTAAGCTGTCCATATCGGTCAGCTCTAGTCTTTTACCACCAGTGGAGTTTGAACGTCTTCGTTGCGCTGTCGGTGGAGATCTTGGTATGCTACTTGTCGTGTAATGTCTCCTCTCGTTTGCCCTAGGGCGTCGAACTAGGTTAGTCAAGAAGAGAGATTTGATCATATAGGACAAAAACAAGTGTGAGACTTTCTTTCAGATCTCTGAGGAAGGCATTAATGCCGAAACGTAGACCTGATAAATATTTTAACAAAACGTGGCGTGGCTGCGTGGCTCACAAGGAAGTTTATGAATACAAGACAATGCCCAGGTTTCATGACCAGAGAACATATAAAATATTCGAGCACTTATTCGAAATTAGTTTGAATATACGATCAAGTTCGGTCATTCATGTATTCGTTCATTCGAATTTTGGAATGTGCCAATATTCGAATATTCGAAAATCGAAAGTCGAATAAAATTCGTTCATTCAAAGAATTTTCGAAAATCAAATATTCGATATTCATTCGTTCGAAAAATCTTCAAAAATTGATTATTCGATATTCGTTCATTCGAAATTTTCTGTTCGTGACAACTATATTGGACACAAAGTTGAAGCCTTGTTCGATGGTTTGTGACATATGAATGTAGTACAGTAGTCCGTTACCCAACTGGGATAAAGCGACTGATCGAGTACGCAGGAGTTGAATGCCTTCTGAAATGAGGGCTTCTAAACAAAAATTTTCCGTTGGCCACGCTTTGGCCTGGAAGTTTGACCGTTTCAGGTCAGCAGTGATGCGTGATAAAGACTATCATAAATTGCGCCAACTCGCCATTTTTCCCAGCCTGAATACGCAAGGAAACAAAAGACGCAAACACTTTTTGAAGAAATGTAAAATCAAAGCTTTTTTTTTGCAAAAACAGCCAAGAGAGATTTTAAATGGTAAGATATTACCTTGTTCAATTATTTTGAAGATTCAAACTTCAATATTTCAATTTCTCGAAACTCATCTTCTTCCAAAAGACCGAAGGAAGAGACAGAATACATTTGATATTTGGGCAACATATATATATGCTCATTCGATTCATCGTCTAGCCTAATCTGAAAGTGTGTCGGCAGCAAATCGTTCCTTCCTTGGTTTCCACCTGTTCAAAATGTTCTGTCAACAGGTTGTTGTTTGTTGCAGACATGTTGTTGCACGTTGTTAATATGCTAGCTATATGTGCCGCAGGTCAGAGACAGGATACACGGAATACAAGGAGGAATAACAATGTTACCAACTATACAGTAATTGCGGATATTGCGCCCAACAGAAGTACTGGAAATTAACTAATACGCTAGCAGCCGCTAACTTTCAAATGAAAAGACAAAACTCATGATTTTTGCTTTTCAATAAACCTAACTTCAAGCCTTAAGCATTCTTAATCAAATTAACCAGCACTGTAAATTTGATCTTCAACGTAATGCAGCTCTTTCTGCGCGCCGAAAAATGGTCACATTCAAACTTGGTATATACATAATAACAGTATAGGTAGTGGATCTCGGTCGCGCAATATAACCAATATCTTCTTACTGTAACGTGCCTGCCGAATATTCCGCGCAAGTGCGAACAGCGGACTCTATGTTCACACAACGAGTGAGTAAGCAAACATTGCAACAGCGAAGTGATCGAACATGACGAAAACGAACTAGCAGAACAAGAGAAAGAAATTCATGGAACTATCGAAGGATAATGGACCTATTACGAAGTTTGTGTATTTTCCATTAGGCAATGTTAACCTGAACCCCATTTTTATCATATGTTTTATGTGACTATGTATGTTTGCATCCATTAGTGAAACATATATATAAGAGACCGTAGGAAGCCTTCGGTGTGCATTCGTACCTTTTCTCATCCTTATTTCAATGTAGTTCCTCAACTTCCTCTTCGAACTCTCTTACTCTTGTTTTGTAATTTTGCAAGTAGCGACCGCACCTTTATTTACTTATATCGGCCGTCATGATTCACCGCCGCTGGCCGACGGCTCACCGCGATTTTTTGTAGTTTAGTTGTCTTAATCCGAAAGGTCACTTGTTTCGTCCTATTGCATGGTCACCTCCTTGCTAATAAATAGTTGTTGGGAATCGGTTTTGTTAAGGCCGGCGAACATTGAATATCTCACACACGATATTTTCATCAGTCTTAGCATTAGCTGCTCTGCGGAACTATGCCGAGCCTTACATGGAGGTTCCGGCTTCGAACTATATAGCGTTAATAACTAAATTTAAAAATTTCAGAAGCATGAGCATTGCTGATGAACGCTTTGAACACCTGCGCGATATTCTAAGTACTATCAGAGACGAAACTCCGATAATTCCTGAAAACCCATCGGAAGAATGGGAAAAGGAGCAAGAAAAAGTCATGGCCGTACCACCTCCTATGTCCTTCGCCCGTTCATTTCCTCCTATCGTCTAGCTACGCTTTTGGAGGAAGAATGCAACTGTCCATTGAAGTATATAAGAACACGAAACATCACACGCCACTGTAATCGCCTATTCGCTTTATCTCTGGCAGCCTTCAATGGCAGCTGCGGACAGTTCATTCCAAACTACTCTTCCTTCACAATTTGTCTAAAATCAGCGAAAGAATATCGTTTTCCATGTAGCACATGTCCCAGAAGCTCTTTTCATAATTTGCAAAAACATCTTTACTACAGACATGGTTATTCACTGAGTGCTCCGAATGTTCCTCTGTTTGATTTTTCACCTAACTCTTCCACCCCACTCGTTCTCCATATTGAGCAAGTCTGGTTGATTTTTGGCCAACTTCCCAAAGTTATCCTTTACCCGGCTAACCATCCACGCGAGGACTCTAAGGAGCAGCACAAGGATTCCGACGTTTGGGAACCACGTCCATCTGCCAAATCGTACTAACTCGTCTGGTGTCGTGTTACTATCTTCACATAGTATTGTATACTCTTCAACTTGTAGTAACACCATGAATTATTAATTTACTGTGTACACAAAATAATAAATAACATTCAAATGAGATCACTCGTTCGGGATTGGCCTCCAGCATAGGAACGTTGGGTGGCTGTCCTCGCGTCCACATCGTGCACAGTGAAGATGGGTAAGGCACATATCCCTATCATGGAACTCGGCGCATCGCCCACACAGGCGATATGCGAAGACAATCCGCACTCGATTTTGAAACTCCAAGTGCACCTCACAGTCGCAGGTTCTGTGGCCGTTCACGCCACATACCACACGCCCTAGTCGAGGGCGGACACTGCGGAATTCAGCGTTCGGCCCCAGTAGAGGTGCCACCTCTTCATCTTCATCGAATTCGTCTTCATCTTCCGCCGCCTCTAGCGCCCGTTCGAGTGCGTTTAAGCGAAGGAAGAGTAGCATGTCTTTCCTACGGGTTAGGGGACGGGCGCCTAACCCTAGGACCGGATGATGCGGACCCTCCGGTGAATCGCGACCATCTACTCTCCATACTTCGCTCTCTGATGAGGAACCTTCCTGCCAATTATCCGGATCCTCTGGCACTTCATCTTCATCGCCCTCATGATGGTAACCATTCGGCAATCCGAGATTCGGCATCCTGAGCTCTTCATTTCCATCATCTCCTGCTTCATTCGCCGCTTCAAATATTCATTTATCATCCTGATTATTTTGTTTCATAAGCACTCCTTTATTACCTTCATTATTCGGCGCTCCCAACGCCACCCTATCATCCCGATCGTCTTGTGCCTCAGGCACTCCATTAGCCCCACCATTTGGCATCATCTATAAAGTAGGAAATAAAATTATAACCACATCTCCTTTTTTGCTAAAATGCTAGTACATTTGAAGCTCTTCTTTGGATTAGAATAAAATAACCTCATTTTAGTGTTTTATTTTTCATCTTGTTTTCCCGTTAACCTTTATTTGCAGAACCAACAGCGTCCAATACGTCGTCATCAACCACAGCGCGATTATTGCGACACCAACGCAGGGAGCAACGAAGAGAAGCAATTTTCGAAGCGAACCGAAGGAAGCCGACCATGTCAAAGGAAAGAAGATCAAGCATGTCAGAGGAGGAAGAAGAAAGTAAACCAACTACGTCACAAGAAAGAAGCGCAACACCTTCTATCTCGGACAAGGAGCTTCAAGAACAGTTATACAAAGCCTGTAAGATACTGGGAAACCGATTGGACAAGTTCTCAGGCTCTGGGGAAAAAACTCTTGAGGAATTCCTGAGTGAATACTCGGAAGTGACGCATGAGCTTGCTATCCCGAACCTGATTTCGCAGAAATTACTACCACTCTACCTGACAGGTGGAGCGAAACTGAAGTACCAACAGATCCCGAATCGAGAGAAGATACCTTGGAAGGATTTGGTAACGGAGCTAGCCAAGCGAATGAAGAATACCTCTCTTCTCAGCAATATCCGAGATGAGCTACATAATATGACGCAAGGAAAGGACACCGTGGGAGAATTCGCCAAAAAAATTTACAACAAAACGAAGATCGCTTTCCAGGGACAAGGACAACCACTCATTAAGCAGATGGCCATTGATTTCTTTATCAAGGGCCTCAACCCCGAGATTAAGAAAGCGGTTAGAAGACTACCTGACACGGACGAATTCGATGAGATAGTATGCAGTGCAGAAAAGGAATCTCGCATCCTGGAACAGGAAAGGAAAGAAGACAGAGACGCCCTTCAAGCCGTCAATGCTCTTCTTATGGATGAGAAAATCAATCGGCTTGAGCAGCAGTTGAGTCAGATGAAAGCAACACCACGACAGAAACCTACCAGTGACCAGGATAGAAATAAGTTCAGGCAGATACAGAGGACACTGCGACCTATCCAGAATCCTCCCTTCTTCGGCCCGCGAGGATATTATCCCCGATACCCACCTTTCCGTCAACGTGCACTCCCATTCTACAATAGCAGAATGTACAACAATAGATTTCCACCAGTACAAGGAGAAAACCTTATGGCTATGGAGCACCATCATATCCACAATATAGACCCCTTCCGATAAGTGATGCTCCAGCTCCCGCAACTCCCAGCACCTTCGCGAGAGGAAGGATCAACCCTCCAGGGATTCACTTATTGTGTATCATGACTTTGATACTGTGCAGTGGATTCACAATTGCGAAATACCAGATATGTGGCACAAACCCATATTCGAACATCTTTTCACTTCCAGAATCATTCGATTGTACAATCCTGACAAACGCACCTATGTTACGAACTACGATGCAACTGTTTGCAGATACTTCCAATCCATTCTGGAATAATGCAACTAAGTGCTACAGAGATGCCATTGAGATATCTATAAGCAGTTTTCTCCGTATTCGTACTACCACCACCATATTGCGACGTCGCCAGTTGTCGATCCCTCAAGAACTATGCGCAACGGCCAGGACATCAAGGAAAATACACGATCATGAATTGATTCTGCAGTCGGATGGATTATGGACCACCAATGAAATAGAGGAAGATGACATCGCGATACCACTATGGGGGACCAGGAACTATCTTCGCAGTGTATACACCGTAGAGGAAGGACAAGTCGCCACTTTCGACGGACAGCACATCATGAGTCCATTGGGTGACACCGAGAACTGCTCGTACAGCCAAGGATACTGTCTCACACAGGAATACACGATCATATGGAAACCAACTGAAGTCACACCTTCCTGCAGATTCAAACATGTTGGAACTTTCGAAGCATTCGTCACCCTAAACTACATAGTCCTTCCCCACCCCGACCTCGTCTTCCAATTTTCTGAGGATTACCTTCTGCACGAACAACTCACCAGATATTGTCAGTTGGGCACCAGTTACCTTACGACATCGAACCATATCATCACTTTTCCCCAAGTCCCACAAGACCTTACCATCCAAGATTATGTATTGCGCATGGCCCATCAAGGAAGAGAACAAAGCGTGCTATACGACATCTTACGGATAAAAACGGTAACACCTTCCCGTTTGAAATTGTGCCGATGGAACCTGTATTTCTGACTAAGCGATTGTTCGGTGTTAGACATCTCAGAAGAATTCCAGTTTTAACACGCTCCCGATAACATGGAACAAGACCTTCTACGAGCTAAAACAACGGAATATTACCAATAACGATCTTACTCGGGCGACCCGGTACTATAAAATGGAAGATCCAAGGCACATTGTCCTACGTACGATACGGTACGGCGAATATCGCATGAAGCAATTAAATTTATTTGCGGAATCCGCGAAGAAAACACCCCCAAATTATGCCGTGACCAACATCCGACGAGACCTAGAACTGGGTATTTCTCCGATATTCGACGATTATTTTGAGAAGGAGTTTGGAAGAATCGAATACAACATGCCAGGACCGTTAGACTCAGAATGGAAGTCTAAAATCCCCTATTTAAATGTCACCTTAGCAGCGCTGGCAACAACTTCTCCGGCCCCGACAACTCCACCAACCACGCTAGGCAGTCCGACCATGACAACATCATCACCCCGAACAGTTCCCCTGACCACAACGTCACGAATTTCATCAGCGGTACAAACAACATCAGCCCCACAAATAACAACTCTAGGGACAACGACGACTTCACGAAGAACAACAACCTCTACGACAACAACAACAATACGAACAACGATGACGTCCGGAACTCCTATGAGGACATTCAAATTGACAACAAGGATATCACCTGTTCGAAATACTATGACGACGACAACAACTCTACCATCAACATCTACCAGTCCAACCAAAACACCCCCTTCTACAAAAGGGACTTTCTTTTCTACCACTACAACCAAAACTAGTAAACTAGTATCGTCACCTCAATCGCCGGAGACAACACTTTTGATGAAACACTATACCCAACCATCAAGTACTTCGGAGAGAATGTCGACGATACCAACGAGTACTACCTCTTCCATTTCCCCATCCACAACGCCAGAAGTCTATCATCTGTATTACCACACCCCACTACCCACCCTACAACCCGTAATAGAGGCCGAAACACCAGCCTCTACCCCATCATGGGAGGAAATTTTGACGCGAACAACGAGATTTGTCTTTATGGATTGGACGGTACCAGTAGTGGACTCTATATTATCAACGGTATCAGTAGTGGATTCGGTATTGACATCAATTATACCTGCTTCAACGACGATCATACCAACAATGGCTGAGGAAGAGGAAAATGCTTCAACAACAGTAGAAGCTGCAAACTTCTCTACAACATCTTCAATATTTTCTGTGCCTACACAACCACCTGATACGGAAAATATTTCCCCTCAAAATTTTGCGGTGCGACGTCAGTTTAATAATATCTGTGTCCGACAATACCTCGGAGCACAACGGATACGCACCCTAAGCTTGGTAGACCCTACATGGGCCGCCAGGATTCTGTTGGGAAGAACTGACATCACGGCCGTACGGACTGCGGGCAACTTATTAATTACGAAATGTCGCCGGGTTACACCAACCTTCGTCTTTAATAATCATACGGTTAGTGGAACATGTTATATATTGACACCCGTCAGGATTGACGAGGATCTTTGGTTTGAAATACCGGGAACACAGGACTTGATACAAACATCTGCCACCGTTCCCTGCCCTTACTTATCACCAAAGGATTCCAATTCGACACAGAAGCTTATACTGCCCAATGCCGTTATTAACGATAGAGTGAAGCCTTTTCTTTTCGACACTCCACCTACATTCCACCGCCTGTTTGACAATCACGCCTTATCATTGATTCCACACATGGAGGCAATCAGACAGGAGCAAGCAAATGTGGTCTCGCGACTCCAGAAAAGAGGAATAATTGAAGAGACATTCTCACGGATACGGAATACCAGCATGTCCCTGGGTCAGTCTTTATTATCCCTTTATGAGTCAACAACACAGAAGCTTTCGGATGGCGTAGAAGATATC